CACCCTGATCAGTCAGCAGCCATCAACATCGAGGCAAGACCCTCCACCAGCAAAAAGATTACGACTCGCTGAAGGCTCAGATGATGGTTAGCATTTTTTAGCAATAAAGTATTTTTTAATTAAGGTATGTACATTGTTTTTTTAGACATAATGCTATTGCACACTTAATAGACTACAGGATAGTGTAAACATAACTTTTATATGCACTGGGAAACCAAAAAATTCGTGTGACTGGCTTTACTGCGATATTCGCTTTATTGCGGTGGTCTGGAACCGAACCCGCAATATCTCCGAGGTATGCCTGTATTTCCACAGACCCCGTGTCCCACATGGAGCAGAGGGAGAGCCTCACCAGTGCCTGGTTTCCCCCTGATGCACTGGGGGAGAGGGAAGGGGAAGCCCTGAGCTGGGGTAGGCTCAGCTGCAGGATGGGTCACAGGCGGTGCCTCTTGTTCTCTCTGGGAGACAGAAATCTGGGGTCAGCTCCATGGACACACTGCGGGAATGGCCTGGGAGAGCCCTGAGGACAGGAAAATCAGGAGGAGGAAGGGAAGTGTGCTGGGGGCACCAAAACCTAGTAGCTAACTCTGAGTCTGCATCAGGCCAAGCAGGGCACTTGTGGTCAGAGACAAAAAGGGACAGTGGCTCTTTCAGAGGCTTGTACCTGTGCTGGTTGGATACAGCTAGCTCCAGTTAGGAGTGATGACTTTGAACATTTTCAAGACGCTGCTTTTTAGTTTCATTGAGCTCCCTCCCACTTCTTTCTGCACCAGCCCTGGGGCAGGCAGGTAACCAGGTGGTATCACACACTAAACATATCTTCCCAGGGAAAATGGGCTGCGAAGGAAGAGAAGCAGGTTCTGAAATGCGGTGCGAGGAAACCCAACCCTTTGGCTTGCAAGACGCTGTCCCAGCAGACTGCCTGCCCTGCTCACTGTGCTTGCACCCTGCCTGCAAAGTACGTTTTGCATTGCCCTGAAAAATATGAGATCCCTGGCGGGCAGAAGTGATGCTGATAGCTCTGGAAGCAACCTACTACATGGCTGCCCAGAGCAACTTGTCTTGCCTGTATCTGGAGAAGGAAACAGTGGAGGATGCTATGAGAGATTCTGGGCATCAAAGTCCACCGAGGATAGTTGGGACCATTGTCCGGATGCCATCTCAGACACCCTCTCAGACCATACAGCCCTCCTGTACCTGGTAGCATACAAGCAGCCGCCTGCTTGGGCCAGGTTAAAAAAATGAGGTGAAGTATTATCTAAATCAGCTATTCCCATCCAGGAAGCTGCGGTGCCCGAGATGCTATGAGATGCTTTTAAGGGTGCTGTGCAATAATAGCAGTATTGGGTGTGCAAACACTTGCACATGACTCACAAAATATACCCAGAGGTTTCAAATAAGAATCCCTAGCGTTGAAACCCTTGTGCCCTGCTGCGGTTTTTCTGAGTTGTGTGCACCAGAATAATTGCACTCATATCTTTCAGAAGTCAAGTGAAAGCCAAGAGCTGGCATTTCCTGAGGGGTGCCTAAAAAGGCTGATCTAATAAACCATTAATGGGGCCTGCACAGACAGTGGATGGGAGGTGTCTGGCCCTGTCCTGCAGTGCTGAGGGGAAGTGGGGCTGGTCCCTGACTAAGCCAAGGCCTCTTGGGGTTGCTTATTGCAATTCATGCTTCAAAAGGGCAAGAGCAATGCAGATGCTGCCTGGCAGGTGGGTGTGCATGACTGCAGCCGAGACAGGCTGTCTGGACAGGGACCCAACGGTGGATTCCCAAAGCTGCAGACACGAACCTCGGTCCCCTGCCTGGTCTCTGCTGCACGCTGAGGACCACTGCCCGGGACGAAGTCACTGGTTTGCGCCGAATGGTGCACGGGGAACCCCCCTATCCAGTACGACGTGCAAACTAATGGTGCAAAGAGGCAGCCTCCACTTATCAGCACAACGGAGCTGGAAACCATGGCCAGTTTGAAGGGTTTATATATTGTGCTCCCTCCCCATTTTTTTTGCCTGCCTCATGCATTCTTGGTGGGTTCAAGCGAAGAGCCGCAGTTAGGTTCCAGGAACAAGTTAATTTATTAAAAATTAACTAAAGGAGAGGGAGGCAGATGGGAGCCAGCTGTGACGCAGGAGAAAATGGAGATGTCTGTGAGTGTCACACTGTACCACGTGCAGGTGGGAGCAGACAGGCAGGCCCAGGTAACCCCCCTGAGCCCTGGTGTTAGAAGAGGGATGAGTTTTGGTGAGTTATCAAGGACTTTGTGCTGTCACTGATACACATGGGTATCTGTAGGACACTTTAACCTCAGAATAGTACCCTCCCAGCACCCCTTTAAGGACATGGACCACCCTGTTACACTGTCACCTGTCCCACATCCCTTGCATAAAGTCCTTGGGAGTGTTACCATGACCATTTCACAGGGTAATAGTGCAGAGTGACACCCTGTCTCGGTCCTTTCTTCCAAGGAAGCGCATACAAAAGCTGCACCCCAAAGGACCATGCCGGGAAATGCTGCTGTATCCCCTCACCAACTGTTGGAAATGCTGGCATAGTCGCAACAGTTTTTGGACCCTGTAGCCAATTAAAAAAAAGATGTTAAGTAAATAACTTATGTGACGTAAAAAAGCAGGGGAGTCTAATGGCTTAAGTGGGCAGTAGGCTCTCTGTAAACAGGGCCACCCATGCCATAAACATCATAAAACCTAAAAAACAAACAAACCCAGGGACACTATAGAGCCACCCACCAAACAAACATCATAAAAGGGGCAAAAGATGTGCTATTGTCAAGGCAAACCGGGGGGAGAAGCGGAGCAAATCACCCATAAAAGCTGAAGCAAAAACGAGGACTGTGGACCCTCTGCCCCACCTGCAAAAAACATAACTGCAGACCCCCAAAACTCCTGAACGCCGGGCCAGCTGCAGGGAGACCCTCTCTGTCCTCAAAACTATGTAAAACTTTTATGCAAAGTTCCTGTTGTTTCTTTTGTCTTACGCTTAACAGTATAACTTGCTGCACTCAGTAAATGCTCCTTTCAAAAAACCAACTATTCTTGTCCAAGCCATTTTCGTAGCTTCGGTGCCACCTCCTCAATCCCAACCTTAAGTTTCTACATGGTCAGAAACAAGGTGCGTATCACAGATGCGCAGGATGCCCAGAGCAGCGACCGCACCTTCGAGAGCGGGGGAAAGCCCTAGGCCCCCCCAGAGCCTGCCTGGCAGCTGCAGCTCTGGTGTATGATCCTACAGCAGCGAAATGCAAACCCGAAGTGCTGCTTGCAGCTCAGTGGGAGCTTGGCCCTGGCTCACAGGCCCTATCTACTGCCTCCTGAACTCTCCTTAAGGCATGTCCTCAGGCCTCGTTCACTTCCCCTCTGATCCAAGCACAGGGGTATTGCGCCGTAGGGATTCGGCAAACTTGCTCCTGGTTTGAGGAATCAAAGGCACGATCAAAGCCCGTTCCTTGCCTAACCCAAGGCCCCTGGGGGCTGTTTATTGCAATTCCTGCTTCAAAAGGGCAAGAGAAATGCAGGCGCTGCCTGGCAGGCAGGCATGCTGGACTGCACCTGAGGCACAGCCTGTCTGGATGCTGGTGCAGCAGCAGGATCCCCAAGCTCCAGGCACAAACCTTGTTGGTAAAGACCTAGCGCAATCGTCACGTGTGTGCTGGAGACAGACCTAAGGGAGCAGGAGAAGCGTCCCAGACTGCTTGGGCTGGTGTGACCAAAGCAAGCAGAGAACTGCATTTACATTTCAAAGCAGAACCTGTCACAGGTGCAATACCTGAGAAGAGACAGACTAAATGCAGCAGAGCCCTGCTATATATATATACCGGAGGGGAGGTGAAAAAGCATGCTATAACCAAGCACCCAAGGAGGGGAAGGAGATGTAGGGTTGCCTATAAAAACCCAAGCAGAGGGCCTCTGGGATTGCCACTCAAATGCCTAAGACCACTGACAGATTTCCCAAGAAGGACTTTCTGAATACCTGGCTGTAAGGAGACACTGTGCCCCAGAGATTATGCAAGGCTTTCTGTTGTATTTTTGCTTTATTATATTGCATTTTAAGTTAGACTAAGCTGCACATGCTGTCACTGTGTCCTACCGGGCTCTATCTTGGCGTAGGTGGTTTTCCTGTTGTTCTTTGTCACGTGCTTGCAAATTTCTGTGTTTGATAAGCGCTCGTTTTAGAGAGCGGACTATTATTGTTCAAGCATTTGTGAATTCAGTGCCACAACCTAGTCGAATATTAAGTCTGGTATCACCTGCCTGGTGTTTCCGCTCCCCAACTCTCTGCTGGAACAGGAGGCACACTGAGGAGCATTGCCCAGGATGAAGTGCACTTGCTCTGAATCATGCATGCCCCTGTTCAGTATGATATGCAAACGAATTGTGCAAAGAGGCAGCTTCCACTTATTAGTACAATGGAGCTGGAAACCACGGCCAGTTTGGAGGGGCTCTCGATTGTGCCCCCTCCCCATTTTTGGCCTGCCTCATGAGTTGTTGGTGGGTTCAAGAGAAGAGCTGTAGCCAGCTTCCAGGAACAAGTTAATTTATTAATAATTAACTTAAGGAGAGGGAGACAGGAGGAGGCAGAGGATGAGCGCTGGCTCCAAACAAACCTCCCAGTGCCTGTTTGAGTCAATCCGCAAAATTGGAAGCTTTTGCAAGGGCCTTGTCCCCCAAGTGCTCTAACCCCAGGTGCATGGGGGGAGAGGGACACGCTCCAGCACAATGGACACACCTGCAATCTTCACAGAGGGAGAAGTCTACCAGGCACATTTCGACCCTAGAGACTACTTGGAAACATGGTACAACTTTGACGGGGGTCTTTCCAATAAGAACAGTCTGATGACATCTGTCCTGAGAAACCTGCACAAGGTGTTCTCTGCAGGTGAGCCCACGGCACCGTGAACTGGAGGGATCCCTTTCCCAGCATGGGACTGAAGGGTCTGTTGCGTTGCCTTTGCTCTGCGCTGCAACGTGATCTCTCGAGGGGATTTTCAGGCTTTCTGACGATGGGGCAGACCCTGGGGCAGGGATCTTGCTTTTGCAATGCCCAGGAATGTCTGGCCAATACAAATGACAAGGGACAAAACCTCTGTCTGGGTAGTGAGCAGCCGCAGGGCTGGGACGGAGCAGCTTTCTGCAGCGCCGTGTGCATCACGCACTGGTGGCGCCTCTCCAGAGCCAGGGGCAGTAGGTAAAGTCTGCCACCCCCCACATGAATACATTGCCAAGCATTTTGGCTACTGGGTTTCCTCACCTGGGTCCACATGGGTGCCAGTCTCTGCTCAAGCAAGGTGGGGGCTGGACTAGCAGGTGGTTTTGAGGGGCACTGTCGGACCTGGAGCTGGGAAGCACAAGGCCAGAGACTGGGGAGAGGTGGGGCTGTGGGCCTGCACCTCGGGACTTGTGCAAGGGGAGCAGCACAGGCACTCGGGACACAGGTTTTTGGGGAGCAGGAGGTCGGGCTCACTCATGATCCCCATTCAGCGTGCGGGAAGGAGAAAGATTCATGGACTCATCCAAAGCCTTTGAAGGGCTGCGGTGTCCTGCATCCCTGCTGTGGGCTTGGGTAAGAGGAGCCCAGGTCCTGGCCGTGTGAACACTGGGTTGGGCTGCTGGTGCACCGCAAGGAGATAGCAGCCAGTGCATCACCCGCCTGAGGCAGCAATTTTTTTTTTTTGCAAAAAAATTTATTTTTTTTCTATATAATAAATATCTATATCTATATAACTTCACCTCCAACACTGCCAACTGGGCCTTGTGGTTCACTTGGCAGCTGAAAGCACACTAAAACACCATTACACAGTTCGCACCGTGCAATTGCACGAGGCAGCAATTAGGAACAAGCACCCGCAGCCCCCAGACAGGAGCGAGTGCCTCCCGTGCCAGAGTCACGATGCTCCCCCCCGTTCCCATGCAGGTGATGTGAAGGGCGACACCCTGATAGACATTGGCAGCGGCCCCACCATTTACCAGCTCCTTTCTGCCTGCGAGAAGTTTAACGAGATCATCACTTCGGACTATACGGACCGGAACCGCCAGGAGCTGGAGAAGTGGCTGAAGAAGGAGCCGGGAGCGTTTGACTGGACCCCGGCGGTGAAATACGTGTGCGAGCTGGAGGGACAGAGGTAGGAGCCTGGCTGCTGGCACCCACTAAGGCAGAAGGGGCCTTTCCGTCCCTCTCCTGGAGGGGACAAGGGCTCGTGGTGGTCCGCAAGATGAAAACGCAACGACACGCTTCCTAGGGCATCGGTCAGAGCAGAAGTGTCATGGATGCGGGGAGAGTTTCTAACATAGGAACCAAAAAAAGCACTTCTGGCAGGAAATACAGCACCACGGCTCCACTGTGCCAGGCTCTGTAGTGAGGCACAACAGCCAGGCTGGCCCTGCCTCACGCTGGCTTAACCCCCGAGGGTCACACTATTGCAATGAGGTAGTTATAGGTATGTTTTAGGCAGAAGGCAGGGCAGGGTGGCACCTTAGACACTACCTGGTTCAGAGGCATGGGCATTAGTGTGCAGAAACCTGCTTCCTTCATTAGATCCTGCAATCTGCCCACTATTGCATTGCACCATGTGCCGCGCACCACTGGCACTAGGTGAATGAGGCAGTGCAAACAATTCATGGTACGACAACCGGTAGGTCTGTATGCAGCGACTGCAGGAGTTCGTTCCTCCAGGCACAAGGAGCAATGGTCTCAAGTTGCAGCAAGGGAAGTTGAGGTTAGATATTAGCAAGAACTTTCTCATTAGGACGGTGGCAAAGCACTGAACAGGTGACCCAGAGAGGTGGTGGCATCTCCATCCTTGGGGGGGACTCAGCTAGACAAAGCCTAGGTTGGGATGATGGAGTATGGTCCTGCTTTGAGCAGGGGGGTAAACCGAGGTCCCTTCCAGCCCTCACTTCCTATTATTTGAATTAGCACCTTCTTCCAGCAGAGAGGACCTCCCGGTTCTCGCTCATGCTGTAATCCAGGGATGGTGCAGAGCCACTCGAGGTGGTTTTAATCCAGCCCCTTGGCCTGGCAGCATGTTGCAGTCTCCACCTCCTGCCTGGCTCTTGGCCTCTTACAGGAGCAAGCTCCACAACCTAATTGTGCATTGCGTGGGCAAGAGCACTCTCTTTGGTCCATTTTAATGCTTTGCCTTTTGGTTTCATTGAACATCCTCCCGTTTCTCTGTACACGAGCCCCCAGGTCAGCGGGTAACCCCACAGTATCACTCACTAGATATTTCCTCCCAGGGAAAAGTGGGCTGAGAAGGAGGAGAAACTGAGGAAGAAAGTGAAGCAGGTTCTGAAGTGCGATGTGAGGAAACCCAACCCTCTGGCCCCCGTGACGCTGCCCCTGGCTGACTGCCTGCTCTCCATGCTGTGCTTGGAAGTTGCCTGCAAAGACCTGGGCACCTTTCGTGCAGCCGTGAAGAACATCAGCTCCCTGGTGAAGCCGGGGGGATACTTGGTGTTAAATACAGTCCTGAAAGGAACCTACTACTTGGTTGGGCAGCGCAACTTCTCCTGCCTGGGCCTGGACCAGGAGTCGGTGGAGGCAGCTGTAAGAGATGCTGGGTGTATCATTGAGCACATCCAAGAGGCTCCAGAACCTGCTCCCGAATCCATCTCGGACTACACCGACCTGGTCAGTGTGGTGGCACGCAAGCAGCACGCTGCATGAGTCTGGTAAGAAATGAGCAGCAATGAGGTAGGGGCAGAGGCTGTTTCGAGCCTAGCTTGCAGGTCGCTGGGTTGCAGTGTGCCCCTTAATTAGTTCCCTGTCCGGAGGGTGGAGATGGGGTGACCCAGCTCCCCCAGTCAGCTGTGTTGTGCCCAGTCCAGCTTCAAGGCCTCAACCACGTAGTCCTTGCAGAGAGCGAGCAGCTGCGGTCACCTCTGCACCACGGGGCAGATGGACCTGGAGACCAGGGGTGATGCAGGGCACTCCCCCTGGGATGCCTGCTGCTTAGGCTGAGCCAGGGCAGCAGCACAGCTGAGGGGACGGCCACAGGCACCAGGCTGGTGCCACCCTGTGCAGACGCACACTCACAGCATCATGCGGCTGCTCGCGGCTCCATTCAGCCCTGCTGACTTGCTGAGTCCAGGACATCCTGGGCCTGAGATTGTGCCGTGTGACTACCCACCTATGTTAAATGCCCGCTACAAACCAAGCCCCCTGCTAATGCCACTCTGGCAGGGGCCAGACAGAGGGGAAGCAGACAGGAGGGTGTCTGGCCTTGTCCTGCACTGCCTGGGGGTGGTCACGCTGTTCCCTACCCAGACCAGGGCCCCGGGGGCTTGCTGGCTGCACGTTATGCCTGGCAGGCAGGGGCGTGCGAGTGCAGCAGAGACAATCTCTGTCTAGATGCTGACCCAGGACCAGGTTCTCCAAGCTCCTGCCACCATCCTTTCTTGCAGGTCACTGTATACAGGCACGGCCACATGCACCCTCTGGAAGATGCTCTCCCCTTTCCCCAATATCTCCCACCCCCATCTCTCATACCAGGAGGCCCAATGAGGATCATTGCCCAGAATGACTCGCACCTGCTTCAACTCCACTGGTCTGCTCTGAATCAGGCCCAGAAAATACTCTTACTTGCTATCTCGTGGAAATTGCTCTAGGAAGGTGGCATCCTTCAGCACTAAGTAAAATGGAGCTGGAAACCTTGGCCAGTTTGTGAGGATTTATTTCACGATTCCCCCAATTTTTTAACTTGTTTCCTGCCTCCTGTGCTGTTGGTGGGTCCAGCAGAGGAGCTGTTGTGGATGTGCAGGAAGAGGGTAACTTCCCTGGCAGAGACCCAGGCATCTCTAGGCCACGTCCTTGCCCGACATCCCCACTCCAAGTCCTCAGCCCCAGTGCTCGTAAAAGGGAGCACCCTGTTAAACTATCGCCCCTTCAATGCCCCGTACATCCAGTCCTGGGGAACGTTGCAGAAGCAGTTTTCTAAGGTCACAGCACTGAACTGCTCCTTGCCTCAGTCCCTTCTTGTCCTTAAGGAAACATCCCCAAAGGGATACTGCACCACCCCCCATCCCTCACGCCCCAAGCGCATGTCATAGCTGTGGAGGATGCTCAGAGCCCTACACACCCCCAGTGCCTGCCTGGCAGCTGTGTTATCATCCTACGGCAGCATAATCCAAACCCAACCAGTTAGTTGGTAGCTCAGGGAGAGCTTGGACCTTGTTCCTTAAGATGCATCCTCAGGCTCATTTTATATTAAAAAGCACCTACACCATGCCATTAGATATAGCAGGACTTGTACCCAAGGCATTCAGACAAGGTCTGAAACAACTGGACTAAAAAAACACCAAGAAGCTCACAAAGTTTCCTGAGCATTTTCTTTTTATTGGGACCATTTTTTTCTTTTGAAACAAGGGACAGCTGAACTTCAACAGATTGCACCCAAGCACAACTTCACCATATCTTTTTTTTTATTTCCTCAAATAAATCATTTCCTACAGTGCATTAACAGTTGTAAATTGGTGACTAGGCATCACCTGTCACATTATTTTACCATTTGTAAGTCAGAACAGGAAATATTTTTATTCAACAAGTAAGAACACAGATCAGATCAGTAGACAGAATGAAAACGTTTATTCCTCCAGCCAGTGCTCAACAGGAAAGGGTAATGGCCAAGTCTTCTCAGTATAGAAGAGCACCAGCCACAAGGTGAAAAGTTTTTTTTATACCTTTTATTGTTCGATTGTGCACATCCGGTTTGGTGTTGAGCATGCCAACTACCTCTAGGTTCATTTGGACACGAGATCTTCGTGCCCGTGGAGATGGAGATTAACCCTTTCAAACGCCCACGGAGCCTTAACTTAGACGCAAATTGCACCACACACAGCCTCAAACTGGCCCCACAACCTACAGCTAAAGCAAGCTACAGCCAAACCACTAACCAAACTGAGCACAAACCTGCATTTCTGCACCAACACTGAGAACTGCTCAACAAGCCAACCCAGAAAACCCTACACACTACCTTCAATCACATCTGTTCTGATCAACTCCTGAACTAACAAAGCCAAACAACCTGCAAAAACCTAGACTGCCACGTATCAAAACGCACAACTAGCTCAATGCCTCAAACTCACTGCCTACAAATCAAAGCCAACCCAAGACCGAGTCTATGGTGCAACTTGAAGCATGCAGCAGCTTGCTCCTGACAGTTTGAAAGTGTAGAGATGCACATGACAGTCTCCAGCTGTACTTATCTAAGCATACATTAAACATATGCCTCTCTTCCTCCTGTCCACCCCAACCCACACTTGTTGCTTCTGAGCTTTCTTGTCCTGCTTCTGCTCCTTCTTCTCCAGCTGCTCTTCAGGGACCTGCAAGAGTACACAAAACAGAAATGAGTTGGCTGGCAATAAACTGCGCACCTCACAAGAAATGTAAAATAATGTAGCTCACAGCGCCCATTACACTCACAAGCTTTTAAAACAAGAGGGGGTGTGACCTGCTTCCTGCTTACAGGGAGGTCCCACTGCTGCAGGGCTCCCTCAGCCACATTTTGGCTCTTACATGACTGAGACCTAAGAGCAGGGCGGTCACTGTGTCCAGAGTCCCTTTCCTTCGCACCCTTTTCCCTGGCTGGCTTTCCTCCCACCTCACACCCTGTCCCAGTCTTTGTTCTTGCAGTGCTCAGAGGACTTGGTGAAGGGGTAAGTCAACACAGCCTGAGCGCGTATCAAGCGGCTGCAGTGTCTCCCTTTTCAGTCCTGCCGTGAAGGGGTTCCTGCAGCCTCCCTGTAATCCCTAGGTAACCCCTCTGCCCAACCACACAAAGTAGCCTAAGATTTGGAGAAATCAGGGCAGGACATGTGCCTTGCTTATAAGCCAGGAGACCCAGGACATCCTGGCACTCCAAGCCTTCCACTGCTCACGGAGCCCTAGTCTTTACCCAAACTCTCTCACCTTTGTCTCCCGGTGGGCTGGCACGGTTTTCTGCCTTGGTTACTGGTTAACTCCTATTTGTCTGTTGTCTTCTCTGCTTCTTCCTCTGGAGGCAAAAATGACAAGACAGAAATGGGATAGAAATCAGCACAATGGAAGATGGGTCTCCAGGCCCCAACTTCTCTCCATGTTTTACCCTTACCTGGACCTGCGGCCACTGTCCTGTCCGTGGAAATGGGGGAGGGCAGACGTCTGCGGGCGCGGCTGCCAAGATCCGGGCCAGCCAGAAGCAGAGTGCGAAGGGCCAGGACTCTGGACAGAAGTGCTAGGGTGGCACCATGAAGGTGACCACAAACACCGGCAACCCTGCTTACAGGGCAGTGCTCCCTGTACACAGCTGGCTACTGGGGGGTGAAGCCCAGAGATAAAAACCTGTAAAGCCCTGAATGATAGGTAACAGGTGCCTCAGGCAGTCTCAATCAGGGCTTAAAGCAGCCCCACGCCTGGGGACACAAGGGCCGTGACTTCAGCCTGCCATCACGGCTGCTACAGAGCCCAAAGGGCTAAACGAGGCCTCCTCACCCAAGGTCAGAGGGGGTGGGGGCACAACCCTGTTTACAGGGTGCAAGAAGAAACCACCTCAATGGTGCCAGGAGCAGCAAAACAGAGGAGCAAAGACCTGAACCCGAGTTACAGGAAGGTCACGAAGCCTCAGGGGTCCCAACGCACTCAGTATCCGCCAGAAGCCTGCAACCTTCCCCATAATCTGTGGGTATCGTCTCTGACCAACCTCACTAAGTGGAATGAGACTCGACCCAAATCAAGGGGGCCTGGATCCTGATTACAGGCTGCAGGCCAGGGTCGGGGGCGCAGATGAACGGCTGGCCAAGTGCCAGGCCACTCGTCCCCAGGGACTCAGGTGGGGAATACGTGGCCTTCTCTCCAGGAGGGCAGACACTGCAATCGAGCTACCAAGTGCCCAAAAGTACCCAAAAAGAGGGGGCCTAAGGCCTGTGCCCTGAAATACAGGGAGGCCGTGTTCCCAAAAGTATTAGAGAGGGGACCTAATGCTCCCCGATGCCAAGAGGCCTGGAAATCCATCCCCCTAGGTATGGAGGTGGCAGGAGAAGGCTACAAGGACGCATCTGGCCCCTTTCTCAGCACTGGGAAGAAAATAAAATACGCTGCAGCGATTTTAACAACAAAAAGAAAATAACAAACGCTTTCGCTCCCAGGCGCTGCTCTCTCGCTCTCCACACACTTACAAGGGAAAAAGTGTTCCCAGGCCAGAAAGGAGCTCGATGCTGCAAACTGCTTGACCTCGAGCCCTACACTGAAAATCCTCCGCTCCCAGGGGGCGAGAAGGCTGAGACCGGCGCCCTCATTACAGGGCACGGCC